GAACTGATGGGCTCCAGTCACCCTCCCCCCCCACCCCCTAGATTGGCTACACTCCCCCTGGCTCACGAATTCCCCGATTCTCGTGACAGTATAGTAGCGGGCAGCAGTCCCACTTACATACATTTCTGTTCAAAAAATGCGGCGTGCCCACCCTACTTGTATAGCACCGAAATGAATATAAGGCAAGGACTCGTGACTATATGAATAAGTGATACAAATAGAAGTATGAAAAGTATCGATTTTCGGTAAAAAAAAAGAGAAAGAATGATAATGATAGACAGACAGTGGCCGCCACCCGTTAGACAGTGATATGCGCAATATCGAAGATTGCACGTAGACGCCAGTGGTCAATGACCCATCGACCAAAAAATGCGCTAGCGAAACTCGCCTTTCCTATCGATTATGGACTGTTCAAGAGTTCGTTACTGTCGGTCTTTTTCTCACTACAGAATATATTCAGTTACAGTATTCCGACATGTCAACTCCAAAGCGGTACCATTTGAGAAAACTTCCAAGGAATGAAATTGTTCATTTTAAGGAAGAAATAATGGACTCGATCGAGAAGGCGTCAGGTCAGGAACTTTACCTGAACATGGCGTTTTCCAGATACATACCCTCTGAATGGATCATGGTATCAATATCCTAGTTGAACCTGGTACCACATGACACACTTCCACCCCACCCCCTAACGGAAGGCAGACAGTCTGTCAAGATGAAATAGAGATGGCTATCAAAAATGGTCAAGTTAAAATGGCAAAACTCGTCAAAAATTGCGAAAATTTCCGACATTTCTCTAGAATTCATAAAAAAATAATGGTAATTGGAAATATTATATTATTCCATTATTAATAAAAGCTACTCCGCCGGCTCAGAAAATTTCCCCTCGTTCACGTACCAAAGTACGACCTCACTACAAAATACGACCCTGTCCCCCACTCCCTCCCCTGCCACTTCCGCTCTCAAATCACAATTTACGATGTCTCTGCCATTTACTACATAAATCGGTCAGACGTATGGACATCCTGGCTCTAACACGATTCAATTCTGTGAGGCAGTCTCTTCCAACCTTCAATCGATAACTGAACTATTAACTTCTTCAACTACTAGGTTTTCTACGAAATTTCACCTAGACATGAGGTCTAGTAAAACAGGTCTGCAATAGCGGTCTATATAGTAAAAAAAAGGAAAATATCGTGGATCCATTCAAGGTAGCTAGTCAAGGTGCTGCCGCAACACATGGCGATCGACCGCGCGGTTGCGGAGCATCCAACATAATTCCATACCTCGTACGCTAACGGATGAAACGTAGCAAATGTCCACCCGCATGACACGTGGTGCGCTGATTTTTTGTCGGTGGCTCTCGAGAAGCACTTCAAGTGCACTACTGAACTTATTAGTCATTGTTGCAAAACGAACCAATGACAATCGCGAAATTCATGGACGTAAACTTTAAAAAATTCATCTTTACGGTAAATAAACACAACAATCAAAGTGAGAAACATGGCAGTGCATTCGAGGTGGCGGTGGTGATTCCTGCATTTGTGCTCTGAAATGACATCTTCTGAACAAAAAAAAACCGGATAACTTGATCAGCCTTAAAGGCCACAAGTGACCACGATGGCCGGAGGGCGGTGCGGTTTCGATGACGTCATTGAACGTCATTCGTGGATAGACCCAACAGCGCGCTGAGGAATGTGGTCGCGACTGCCTCTTGAACGCCCTTCCATCAATGACGTTTAACGACGTCAACAAGACCTCAACACCCTCCAGCCATCAGGATCACTGCTTTCAATCCCTGGCCAGATTCGTTTAGGAGCGTCGTTTTTTCACACAGGGAGCAAATATCAACAGCGAAAATTGCTGTACTAAAAACGTACACCCAAGTCCGCTTAGCGTCTAAAATGTGTTATTTCGTACTCAACTCAATTCATCACAATGGGTGCGATGGCTGTATCAAGACAGTGAGTAAAGCATCATTGGTGGAAAGACACTAATTGTGGAAAGTCCATTCTTGTATTCCTTATGGGAACCAATTTATCGCATCTTCTGCCCTTGAAAGAAACTCACCGGTAGCTTAGTGTCTGACCACTGTTTTCAAGGGCTTCTCGTTAACAGTAAGCTGGAACACGTCCGGACGGCTATAATGTCCCACTGTGTCCAGATCCATCTTACCGCGAGCAATTTGGGATAGATCTATGTTGACGTAACTGAAAAATTCCAATCAGATCGTATGTTTCTTGTTGGTAACAGTGGTGCAAACTCCACCCACTGTATTAGCTCCTTGGTAAAATCTGGTTCCACGAGTACTTTTCCCAGAGGATCGATGGCACAGGAACCGCCTCGTAAGAGA